GATGAACCACAGCTGCCTGAGGAGCTGGAAGGTTGGGATCCAGGCCTCAAGTACCAAAAGCAGCAAAGCAAAACTGAAAGGGGGCAGGGGGAGCAGTGGGAAAAGCAGGGCTGGGGCTGGAAGCCTGGGCAGAAGGATTCCAGGAGTATCTCGCCAGTTGGGTCCCCTTAGAAGTCAGACAGCAGTGTGGCTATGAGTAAAGGATCTGGAGTCAGGCAGACTGGGTTCAAACCCTGGCTAGGCCAGTGACTTACTGTGGGGATGTCTATGTCCTCGCTGAACCTACTCCTTCATGTATAAAATGGGAAAAATAATATTGCTGGCCTCACCGGGTTGCCTGAGATTTGAGATACACAAAAGTGCTTGGGATGATGCCAGCACATGAGGGCTCAGTGAACGTCAACTATCAGTGTTACTCCCCTGAGTACCAGACAGTTTTCTGAGCACCGGGGGTGGGGGAGGACACTGAGGGCGCACAGACTTCCTGGCTGAGTCCTTTGTGCTCAGGGTTCCTGTTTCAGCCCCAACTTCCACTTAAGGGGCGCCTTCAATGAGGTCGGTATGTGCTGGGCCTGTTGCATCTCTGATTTCTAATCCTTCCCACAACACAGGAATGACGTGCCCCTTTTGCGGGTGGGGAACAGGGCCTTGGAAAGATCTGAAGATCAGCTAGTGGTCCAACAAGGAACATTGGGCTCTGCTGAGTGATCGGATTCCCTTAATCTGCTGGAGTGATAGCGATGATGAAACAGAGCAGGTCAGACAGAGTGAAGGTGATGCTGCCGAAGCCACCTGCCAGACTCTTCAGGACAAACCCAAACCTCACAGTGTCCAAGGCCCCGCAATCAGATTCTCCAGTCCCCTTCCCACGCGCTTCTAGCCTCACCTGAGACAAAGCCACATACTCACCAGCCCGAGATATGGTCAACATTATCCCATGAACCCACAGCTCAATTGCAGTTGGAATTTCAAATCCATATACTGATGCCTAAATGCTTTTCCTTTGTGGGGGCTGAGGAGCATGTATGTCAGGGCTTGTTGTTGTAATGGTTCGAGACTATAAGGAGCTATCTCACCAACCTGTCACCTTTAGTTCTGGGTGGGGGGAAGGAGGACAACAGGGAACCTGGTATCATTGTTATCTCTAGGTTCCCTGACCCCTAACACTATTTATCGTTATTGGACCCTAAAAAAATGGTCCAAAAATATTTTAAAATTATCCACTGATTAACAACCATCCATCAGACACCAATTCTATGTCAGGTTCTGAGCTGGGTGCTGGGGATATAAGAGAAATAAAGCACTATCCCTGCCTTCAGAAAGCTCAGAGTTCAATACGTGAGGCAGATAGATAAATACTTTAAACATAATTCAATTAGTACTATAATCAAACACTGGGTCTGGTCAGTGCACCAGTCTGCAAGAGGCCCCTGAAAACAAGCACTTAAGGAACAAGCAAAATACAGAGAATAAAAAAATAATAATAATTTGATATTTGAATTTTTAAAGCAATGAAGTGGTTAGGATGAGAAAAATTAGAACTTTGTTGGAATTCCTTATAGTTTAATATTACTTTTATTTTGAATTACTTATTAAGAGGATGGAGGCATTTCAGCCTTTTCAATCCTCAGAGCCTCTAAATCCAGAGAAAAGTAGGGATGTTTGAGAACAATTGAGGGTTTGAAACTTAAAGAACTTGATGGCTACCTCCTAAAGAAGGAGTTGAGAATGATACTCGGGTTTCGAGGCTGGGTAACTGGGAGGCTGCAGGTATCATCGGTCTACATAGGGAATATTGGAGGCTCAGGAGAGGAGCTAATGAGTTGCTTTGGAAAGGAAACATCTAGATGAAAACGCCCAAAAGTCACCAGATATATGGGCTGTCTAGACCCAGAATTTCCGTGTGCAACAAAGCCAATAGACATAAATCAGCAGAAGCATCTTGGCAGGAGATCTGTCTAGAAGCTTCAGAGTGTGATCGTGGAAGGGATGGACCTGGATGAGCTCACCTGGGGAATGGGGAAAGAAAATGAGGAAAAGCACAGGAGTGGAACTGCAGGAAGCCATACTTACGGGGGGCGAGGGGGGGGGGGGGGGAGTAACTGCTACTGTAGAGACTGGGAAGGAACAGCCAAGAGGTAAGAAAAAAAAAAAATAGCAGTGTCTAAGAAGCTCAAGGAAGTGACGTTTTTAAAAGGAATAATCCAAAGGATTCAAAGTCACAGATAGAGAACAGACTATAAAGATAGACGAAAGAGGGAAGGAAGGAAGGAAGGAAGGAAGGAAGGAAGGGAGGGAGGGAGGGAGGGAGGGAAGGAAGGAAGGAAGGGAGGGAGAGAGGGAGGGAGGGAGGGAGGGAGGAAGGGAGGGAGGAAGGGAGGAAGAGAGGGAGGGAGGGAGGGAGGGAGGAAGGAAGGAAGGAAGGAAGGAAGGAAGGAAGGAAGGAAGGAAGGAAGGAAGGAAGGAAGGAAAGGGGAGGGAGAGGGAAAGAGAAAGGAAAAGCCAACCACAGAAAGAAAGAGTTGGCAATTAGGGTGGTCCTTGGCAATCTTTCCTAGAGAGTTCCAGTTCTGGGGACAGAAGGCAGACTGCAGGGACTGACTGGTAGTCCAGAAAGTTGAAGATCCTCGGAAGAGAACTGACTTGTAACAGAGAAAGAGAGATGGAATGGTAGCTAAAAGGTCAATAGGCCAAGAAGTTTGGTTAGCTTATCTCATGTTAAAGACTAAAGCTGTTTATAGGCCAAGAGGAAACCTAAGGAGGAAGAGTGATTGGTTGATAGTAGGGAGAGGAGGTCACTGGTGGGAGGTCTCCAAGGAGACTGGGAGCAGGGGAAGGGGGAGGCCAGGCACAGATGGAAGGTGTTGAGTGAGGATCAAAGATAAAGGTGGGTGAGGAGGCCCTCCTTGTCACATCCTTATGTTCATTTTATCCAGTCATCACTGGGCTAGGAAGGGAGATGGTTCAGCCCTGAGTGTCTTTTAAAGTCAACAATATGAAGAGAACACAAAATGAATGTGCTTTCCCCTCTACTGTGCCAAATCCTGCAATCATCTGTCACCAAGTCCATTTCCAAATCTGTGTTGCTTGCAAGGCCAGACAGCACATCTAAATGCGGGGAAGGTTTACAAAGAAATGCACTGGAAGGAAGAGCAGGGCTGCCAGAGAGTAAGCACCCCTCCTCAAACCATTCACCAATTCGGACCCAACTTCTCGACTGACCAAAGAGCCGCTGGCAGATGGGTCTCTACAGGCAGGATTCCAGCAGCGCCCTGAAGTGTGCAAGCTCCTGTCCCTGGGCCTTTTTCTTCCCCAGGGGCATGACATACCCTGGGGGCTGGGACAAGTCTAGCCAGGAAAATTGTTGGATCACAGAAAGGGCAATCTCAGGCCCCCTAAACCTGAGCATGGCCAGACCTGGACAAAGGGCTGAAAGGCCTGATACCAGTAGCAGCAGTTTCCTCACGCCCCTGTGGCAAGTCTGGGTGACCAGCGGAGTCCTTCTGAACCGCACAGCCAGTGGGTGTGGGTGTACGCAAGGCTTAGCTCCTAGGCGCGCGCACCGCGGGCGCCCCTCTCTGGATGTCGGCCGCTATGACGGCTATGACTCCTCGGAGAAGCAGGGAAAGTCCAATCAAGTAGGGATGGAGAGCTAGCTCCGACGCCCTCCCTGACCAGCAACCGTAACATTGCCGGCTAAGGAGCTGGCGACAGGGTCTGCGAGGAGCCACTCACAAAATACGGAGCTCAGAGTGAGTCGGAGAACTTGCCAGGGAAGGGACGCACTTTCCAAGAAGGGAGCACTGGGATGTTGGGGTGGCCAAGGCGAAGCCTTCAGAGGTTCATCCAATCAGTGGTTTAAACCAAAAACAAACCAGTAAAACCCAACAAGGCTCCAGCCAGAGGTGTCCTGAGTCCAGGCCCGGGCAGCAGGTGTTTAGGGTGTCAGCCTCCAGGCTAAATGAAAATGCGGCCCCAGGCATCGTCGGTTGGACCCGTCCCCACCCGGGCACACGGAACTTTCTAGGCTGTGGCTACAGCTGAGCCTCAGAGGGGTGCAGGGGATAAAATGGAAAGGCACCAGTCGAGGTCAGTATTCCCCACTTGGGGACTGGATTCTCTGGAAGGGCCGCTGCCTTTCCGGGTCCACAAGCCGCAGCCAGACACCCACGAAGTTCTGGCCGCACCCGCCGGGACTCGGTTGCCAGGAGCAGGTCCCGCCGCCGGTGCCGCCGCTGCCGCAGCCCCAGCGCTGGGCTGCAGCAGGGCGCGGGAAAGGGCACTTTGGCGCGGAGTGGGGACCGGTGGGAATGTGGTGTCGTGGAGCCTCCCGGAGACACTCCCTCCCCAGCCCCCGGGCACAACCCCCACCCTCGCCTCCATGTCTTCAGCCCCCCAGCCCCCACCTGAGTTCTCCCGCAAAGCATGCTCGGGACCCCCGCCCCCGGCCCGCGCCCACCGGAACCCCCTCAAAGCCCAGAGCGCGGAGAGAGGAGGACTCCTGGGGAAGGGGTTGGCGGCCGCAGTCTCTGGGTGGTTACCGCGGGGCGCGGGCTCCATTCGCGGGGCGCGGGCTCCATTCGCTAGAAAATGGGCGGGGGCGGGGCAGACCCTGCAGGCCCCCAGAATGGGGAGGTAGGGGGAGGGCTCCAGGAAAGTTTATCGGGGAAAGCCTTGCATCTTGGGGGCTGGGAGGCTGGAGAAACTGAAGCCACGGTCCGGGTGCCCAGAAACCCGGGGAAGGGAAGCCAGTCTCCCAGGCCCTCACACCGGCCGGATCCGGCCAAGTTGCGGCTGGGTTTGGGGGTAGCGGTGAGGGTGAGGGTGGAGGTGAGGACACTGTTGGGGGGAGGGGGAAGGGGGGGAGCTGGGGCTGAGCGTGAGGGTGGGCGACGGGAAGAGTGGAAGGTGAAGAGGGAGGACGGGGAAAGGGCCGGGGACGGGGTCGGACTCGGGTGGGGCGCACGGCGGCCGCCGGCTCCCAGCGCGGCCGGACTTACCCGCGGCGGCCGAGGCGCTGAGCAGCCCCCAGCTCAGCAGCAGCAGCAGCGGCGGCGGCGTTGGCGGCGGCGGCGGGCGGCCCCAGCGGCTCCCCACGCCCGGTACGAGCGCCGAAATCCCGGCTTCGCTGCGAGCCCTCCCCGCGGGGCAGCCGCAGCGCCCCGGCTTCGGTCCTCGCGAGCGCGGCATGGCTGGCCGGCAGCGCCGAGGGAGAGGTCCGCTCCCGCCGAGGAGAAAGGAGGTCAGGGGAGCTCTGGAGCTTTTTTTCTGTTCGGAAAAAACCCCGGTACGCGGGAGCCCTGAGCTTCTGCGGCTGGAATGAACCAAGTGTCCGCCCGGCCGGGGAGAGGCGCGCTGCGCTCTCGGAAATGACTCCCTCCAATCCCGCTTCGCGGGGTTCGCGCTGGGGGGCGGGGGGGTGAATTATCCCCGGATTAATCACTCCCGAGCCGCTTCTCCGCCGCTCCAAACCCTGGGGGTGGAGGCACAGCAAAAAAAATATTGGGGAGTGGGTGCTCCTCTTCAGCGCCACCTCCACCTCCAGATAAGCCACAAATTACATTTTATGGGTTGTTTATTCCTTGTTTGTTTTACAACGGACCGGTTTCTTTTAAGTTCAGTTCTCTCGTTGTCATTTCTAAGATTACCCATTAATATAACCCCCATACACACACGCACACACAGTGATACAGACACACACCGCGCACACACAGGCGGCGCGCGCACACATACACACACGCCTCTTCCACGTTTGGAAATTGGAAGACTGTCTGGGAAAAGGTAACCAAAGGACTCGGATCCCCATGTCAAGGCTTTTACAAGCTGATCTTGGGTAGTGGGTTTGAACTTGCAATATAGGGCTGGGGCGATGTTTAGGAGCCCTGGTTCACAGTAGCCTCCTACCCATCCCCTGAAGGTGGGTGCTTGTGCATAGATGGGCTAAGAATTGGAGGGCGGGTGTGGTGGAGGACCCGGTCTTTTGGCTCCGTATGGCTCTACCCCTGCCCTAAGACAAAATCTCAGGATGGAGAGACGAGTGCTTGTGTGCGCTGGGGGTAGGGGGGTTAGGTTGTAGAAGGATGCTGCAAGAGTTACTTGTACGATTTATTCTCAACATTAAATAAGCAGACCCTGCTTACTCTCACCCTCCCAGCCTTGGCCCCAAACCAGAGCGACTCTCCCAAAGGCGTGACTCGCTCTCCACCCCTCCTGCCAGGCCGCTTCCGCCAAGCCCCGAGGGCTGAACACCGGTCCCCACCCCATCCCCCATCCCCCATCCCCACCCGGTCGCTGTCTCGTTCTCCTCTCCCCTAGGCTCCTCCGTCAGTCATGATGGCTCCTCTCTCTGTCTAAACTCTCTGGCGAGAGAGAAGAGACGTTGGGAGGGGGCGGGTGGGGGTACAGAGGGGACCAGGAGGGACAAGGCCCAGAGATGAGGCCCCTGCTGGCTCGCCTAGCAGAATAGCTGTAGTTAGTGATCACCCCACATCCTTTACCAGAGGCACCCGAGAGAAGCAGCGCTGGGGGCTTGGGGTTTAGGCCAAACCCGAGCTCTGCGAGCCCAGGGGCCAGGAGCCTCGGAATTTCCCGGAAAGAGCCAGGAAGGGGCAATAGGTTTGCCTATATCCCAAGTGGGAAGGTGGTGGGCAAGGCCTGAGGAGTGGGTGTTTGCCCCTCCTTCCCAGAGCCGTGATCTCCCAGCTCCCTTGATGCCTGTCTGCCTCCTCTAGCCCAAGTTGATTCGTAGCCATGCCTGAGCTCACCCCACAGTTGGGGGGACCGCTGAGTGGCCCCTGGGTGGGGGAGCTGCCTCAGAATCGCCAGCCCCACCCCCACCCCCAGCACACTTGCTTTCTCACCCCTCCTGATGCTGCCTCGCTGGGTGCCAAGAACCAACCAAAGCGGCCAGAACTCGACTGTGAAAGGCCCGCTTTATGTCCCTGGGGCAGTGGGGAGGGGCCTAGTCCTTTCCATTGTCCAGGCCCAAAGAGAGGGCTCAGCCAGCCCCGACTGACTGGACTGACCGCCCAGGGCCCTACCAGACCTGAAGAAGAGGGAGGGACAGAAGGACTGGCTGGGTGGTGAGTGGGTGGTGGCTTTGGGGGGACTGTTGGCCAGATCTTCCCTGGGGTGGGCCCCATGCCTCCAAAGCTTGGGCCTTCCCCCCCCCCCCCTCCTGCAGGCGGGGTTTTCTCCTCCAGAGAGAGGAGCTGGCAAAGATACTCAGCCCTCCCCTGCAGCCGCAGCTGGGCAGAAGAGAGTCTGGCTGCTCTATAATTCTGGGGCTCCAAGCCAGTGGACTTCCCCCACCCCCTTCTCAGCCCCAGAACTTTGCTCTATGGCTGCAACCTGCAGCTGATGCTTACCCCAAAACCCTACCTGGCAAAAGGAACATTTGTCATCTTTCTCCCTTGGGGCTGTAGAGGGCAGGGGTACCCTTTTTTACCCCTTGTAACTAGCTTGTTTACTCAATTCCCCCACCATTCATGCCTCGCTAATCTTTTGGGGTCTGTATACCTTTACTGAGGCCTGCTGGGCGCTGGGCGCTGGGCCCTGTGTCAGGCTGTGCTGTGGCAATGCAGAGATGCAGTGTGTGGTCCAGCCTGGCAGGATGTGGGGCACAGATAGAAACCCCCACACAGCCCATTCAGCCTGGCAGTGGTAATCACCATGGCAGGGGCATATTACAGGGAGTATCAGACAGCAAGCTTTTCCTGGACTTGGGGATCAGTAGGCTAATTTCAAGAGGGACCCTGAGGCCTGGATAGAAACTTTGACAAGGCGAAGATTGATTTACACAACAAATATTTATTCAGGATCGTTGCATGCCGGACACTGCTAGATAATGAATATACACCCCAGTGAACAGTCCCTGGCTTGTGAAGGCAGGAAATAAACAAACACATCAAAAGTTACTAATTAAGAATGCCAGGGAGGAAAAGATCATGGTGCTATGAGAAGGAGGGGGGTTATGGGGTGAGGTACCTTAAATAGGTGATCTGTAAAGGCCTCTCTGAGGTGGTGACCTTGAAGATGGGATTGAAAATTAAGCAAGACAGCCACGCAAAGGGTTGAGAAAAGGGCTTTTGGTATAGAAAGCATGGGCAAGGGGAGAGGAACCCAGGAGATGAGGATAGGGCCTAAGCCAGATCATGAGGGACTCTCAGGGCATGGCGGGGAGGTCGGCAATAGGCAGTGGGAAACAGGAGGTATATTAGTTTGTTAGGGTTGCCGTTACAAAGTGCCACACGCTGGGTGGCTTAAACAACAGAAATGTATTTCCTCACAGTTCTGGAGGCTAGAAGTCTGAGGTCCAGGTGTTGACAGGGTTGGCTTTCCTTACAGATGGCCGGCTTCTTCTATGTCTTCACACGGTCCCCCCTCTGTACATGTCTGTGTCCAAATTTCCTCTTTTTATAAGGACATCAGTCATGTTGGATTATAGCCCACCCTCATCCCATTTCAAGTTGATTACCTCTTTAAAACCATGTCTTCACATACAGTCCCATTCTGGGATGAGGACTGCAACATAGGAATTTTTTTTTTTTTTTGGGGGGGGGGACACTTCAGCCCATACAGGAGGGAGGACTTTTTAGGTGGAGGAGAGAGAGCAAATGCATGGTAGCCAGAATATGTATTTCAAGAGATATCGGCGAAGGCTGTGCATAGCGTGACTGCTTTAGCAGGAGAGACTCTGGAAAGGTGTCAGCTCTGAATACCAGAGAGGTGGGTTTTTCGTTTCTAGGAAATCGGAGCCAAGTGGCACAGTCTGGCACATAGACTGACTTCTGTGTGGGTGGGGCATACATAGGAAGGGGCAGGGAAAGGGGAGGTTAATGCAACAGCCTGAGCTGCAAGTGATGTGGACAAAGGCAGAGGTGAAGGCCCTAGACATGTTTGCAGGGCAGGGAAGAGGCAGGTGTCCAAGAGATGATAACCTTGCCCAGGAGGATGTGGCTCTCAGCCCAGCCCCCACGCTGGCTCCCTGCCGGCCCCTTCCATTCTGCCCAGAAGCGATAGGCAGCCGTGGGGCAGGGTCACGCCACACTGTCACATTGCAGACAAAGCCAGTGAGGTATGGTGACTCACTAAGATAAGCCTAATATCCAGATAAGATTAGAGGTTTCTTTCAGAAAGAAAACAAGGCCTGATGCTCCGGAGAACTTTGATTCAAGTAGGGGCTGTATGTACACTTGATGCCCTGAAATTTCGTTTTGGAAATAGTATGCTCTAGCATGAGGGCAAGAGTGGAGCCTGAAGGGCTAGCAGGAGTGCAGAGCAGGGTTGCAGAGCAAAGGCCAGAGCTCACAGGAAAAGCCAGGGTCTGAATAGAGGGTGGAGATTTAATTTTTTTAATTTAAAAAAATATATATTTTTATTGATTTCAGAGAGGAAGAGAGAGATAGAAACATCAATGATGAGAGGGAATCACTGATTGGCTGCCTCCTACACGCCCCCTCCTGGGAAATGAGCCCACAACCTGGACTTGGGCCACAACCTGGACTTGTGCCTTTGGCAGGAATCCAACCTGGGACCCTCAGTCCGCAGACTGATGCTCTATCCACTGAGCCAAACCAGCTAGGGCGAGGGAGCAAGATTAGGCAGAAGCTAGTATTTTCCAAGGGTAAGGCTGTCACTGTAGAGATGACAGTGATCTCCTTCCTAGGAAAAGGTGACAGAAGGGGTTTAGGGGGAAAAAAAGCCCAGAACAAACTGTAGGGAGGCTGTGGGCCTCAACAACCAGGAGGGACAAGTGAGAAGGGTCCCCAGTCTGTCCTTCCTCCAGTGCTACCAAATCCAGAGGCCATCGAATTGTGATATTTCTTGCAGAAGGTTCTCCATTTGTGCAACAAGGAAAAGGGACAGAGCTCCTGTCTGTGGAAAAAGAGGCCAATTTTTTCTTCTACTTGTCAGAGGCCATAATCCACAGGAGAGGGCCTATTCCAGGCTCTCATCTCTACTTGAGTTCCTCCAATCAGCTATGCATCGTGCCTCCTCACCTTTTCTCACACCCTTTCCTCTGACTGCAAAGCCATTCCCCCTCTCACTGTGTGGAGTAAATGATTTCTAATCATCACTCAGCTCAAGTGTCACCTTCCCCAAGGGTCACCTCCCCCCAGGTAGCCTTTTCTAAACCCCCACACCCCTGCTGGGTTAGATGCCCTTTGCCTCTTGGACAGCTAGCAGGACATCAAGAAGGTATGATTCCCCTTC